GAATCGGGTAAATTCCAAATTCATGGTAGAACTGTGTATGGCGTCAGGTCCCCACCTGACTTTGTTTTGACAAGAAGGCATTGATTCACATTGAGCCCTGAAAGAAATAGCTCATAGCAACATGTATTCAAAAATAGAAGTCGTTTCTCTTGACCTGGTTTTGAAGTTTCTTTAGGAGTGATTCTGTTGGCAAATTGTATTGAGAGAGCCTGTTTTGGGGGGTTGAGATATTCATTCATTGTACATACACCTTGTGACATGTTTTCGAACGCCTACATAACATATAATTAGTATTATGCTGAATCCAGGGATGCGTTGTGAAGTATCAACACTCTATGGCTGCATACCAATTATACACCCCATGTCATCATAACAAAAAAAATGTAAAAGACACAAGAAAGAGCTTTGACAAATATTGCGCAACATAGGACTGACACACCTGAATCAATATATGCACTCTTCTGCACTCCTGATGTCATTTTTATGATGGGGCGGTCGGGTAGCCTAGTGGTAAAGCGTTCGCTCGTCACGCCGAAGACCCGAGTTCGACTTTGTTTTAGATATATTCTTGACTTTGATAAAGGTGAGATAATTTACTTTTAAACGTCCTACAGTCATGACCCAGAAGCAATAAAGTCCTCATATCTTGTCATATATTCCATTTACATTATTTATTCCGTTTCTTAAAGCCCTAATGGGATAGTGTAGTAGTGGGGTTATTAAAAAGCAACTTTGCAGATGTACCTTCTCAAATAAGTTCCGCACTCTTATCTGAATACCTTATATAAAGTATACCACAGCTTGATACTGTTCAGACCAAACCGCCTATATTTATCGCAGCACGAGCGCCCTATGAGGAGATGGTATCACAGCATCTACATCAAACGGTGTATTCGAATTAATGGGACATGTGTACCAGATCTTCACGGAAGTCCATCTAGTATACAGAATGGTCTATCGGCGCAATCTTTGAGATTGATATGTGATAACGTTCTTGTGTATATGTATATACTGTGTGATACACATTGGTGCATTTATATGATCAATGTGTGCATATGTAAAACATTCTGCTGCATGGTAGAAGCTGTTACAAGTTTATGTAAAACAGTCTGGTAAAGTAGTGGTTTATGTGTGGTGGGAGCTGGTTTATGTATGAGAGAAGCTTGTTTGTGTGTGATAGAAACTTGTTTATGTGTGGTAGAAACTGGTTTATGTGTGATAGAAGTTTGTTTAAGTGTGATAGAAGCTGGTGTATGTGTGATAGAAGCTTGTTTAAGTGTGATAGAAGCTTGTTTGTGTGTGACAGAAACTTGTTCATGTGTGATAGAAGCTTGTTTATGTGTGGTAGAACCTGAATTATGTGTGGCAGAAGCTTGTTTATTTGTGGTTGAAGCTGGTTTATGTGTGAATAAAGCTTGTTTATGAGTGAAAGAAGCTTCTTTATGTGTGAAAGAAGCTTTTTTTATGTGTGAAAGAAGCTTGTTTATGTGTGGTAGAATCTGATTTTGTGTGTGTAAGAAAGTTGTTTATGTGTGATAGAAGCTTGTTTATGTGTGGCAGAAGCTTGTTTATGTGTGGTAGAGCCTGATTTATGTGTGAACGAGGCTTGTTTATGTGTTGTAGAAGCTTGTTTATGTGATACAGAAGCTTGTTTATGTATGACAGAAGCTAGTTATGTGTGATAGAAGCTGATTAATATGTCGTAGAAGCTGGTTTATTTGTAATGGAAGTTCGCATAACATATAATTCGGGCGGTGGTAAATATTATATACACATTGGTGCGTTTATATGATCAATGTGTGCATATGTAATACATTCTGCTGTATGGTAGAAGCTGTGACAAATTTATGTAATAAAGTCTGGTAAAGTAGTGGTTTATGTGTGATAGAAATTGGTTTATGTGTGGTGCAAGCTTGTTTATGTGTGGTTGAACCTGATTTATGTGTGAACGAAGCTTGTTTATGTTTGGTAGAAGCTGGTTTATGTGTGGTAGAAGCTTCTTTATGTGTGGTAGAAGATTGTCCATGTGCGTAGAAGCTTGGTATGTGTGACAGAAGCTTGTTTATGTGTGGTAAAAGATGGTTTATTTGTTGTAGAAGCTGGTTTATTTGTTGTGGAACCTGGTTTATGAATGGTAGAAGCTTGTTTATTTGTGGTTGAAGCTGGTTTATGTGTGGTAGAAGCTGGTTTATTTTGTGGTTGAAGCTTGTTTATTTGTTGTAGAAGCTGGTTTATTTGTGGTGGAACCTGGTTTATGTATGGTAGAAGCTTGTTTATGTGTGGTAGAAGCTGGTTTATTTGTGGTTGAAGCTTGTTTATGTGTGGTAGAAGCTTGTTTATGTGTGGTAGAAGCTGGTTTATTTTGTGGTTGAAGCTTGTTTATTTGTGGTAGAAGCTCGTTTATGTGTTGTAGAAGCTTGTTTATGTTTGAACGAAGCTTGTTTATGTGCGGGAGAAGCTTGTTTATGTGTGGTAGAGCTTGTTTGTGTGTGGTTGAAGCTTGTTTATGTGTGACAGAAGCTTGTTTATGTGTGACAAAAGCTTGTTTAAGTGTGGCAGAAGCTGTTTTATGTATAGTAGAAGCTGATTATAATTAATATGTCGTAGAATCTGGTTTATTTGTAATAGAAGTTCGCATAACATATAATTCGGGCGTTGATAAATATTTAATTGAATCTCGTGTGTAGAAAAGAGGGGCGTTAATCGAAATGATGTCTTCTTGTGTGACACAAATAGGGGAGTGGAAGTTCTTGAGTCGCGCATATATCAGTGAGGCTGATATGACCGTGTACAAGTCGTTGCCTTGACAGTTGCAATGTGTTTCTCTACGTGTGTCTGTGATAGCATCTAAAGGCTCTTAACGTTAAGTATGGTCACCCACTGGCGTTACAAAGATGAGGGACAGGTATTGTCCAAACGAAATACTTCATGAATGTTATAAATATATGATGAGGTACGCAAAGATCTATGGTCACACCCATCTGAATAAAACAACGTTAACTTGAACTTTGAAATCGTCCGTCAAACTTTTAGGAGTTATATATATGTTCAATAACATTACAAATTATGCAAAAAGAACAAAAGCTGTCTGATAGATTTAATTAAATATTTAATGCCTATATACCTAAGTTCCATCACATGTATGAATAATTTTTTTACATATGTGACAATTTACCACTGACTAAACAAAGGACATAATATTATTGCATATACAGTAATTTCATTTTCGCATACTATATACTTTGAAGTGATAACGAATATCAATTTCGTTACACCAGAACGTTTACTGAAACGCAAAAGCTTGTTATCGTGTTCTGCAGTAAAATTGGGAATATTCCGCGGATATTCGCGAATAAGTTGCAAATATTGGCGAATAATTTGCTAATAATTTGCGAATAATTTGCGAATAATGTTTTATGACACTAATTTGGAGTTTTATGGGACTATCACGCTGACAACGCGTGGCGGACCATGACAATACACTCCATACATGTACAATGTATTCTACGATGTTACACTGTGATTGAATTTGCAGGTCCATGTAATGTTTGATAACTACATGTGAAGAACATAAAATATTCCTTCTGTAATAATGTTGTCATGAAATTATTTGTTTGACATGAATATTTGATTTACGATCAATTTGCATTCTGTCTCTTGTCTTGAACAAATCTACATGTATACATTTATCTACTAGCATATACCAGCATGTAGTAGTTTGATAAATACCACAATGGCAATTGTTATATTACAGTTGATGTAAGTACATATACGTGTACTTGGTTAAAATACACAAACAATGTACATGTATGGAGGGACGTCCTGATTAGTGTGGCCATACAGTTAACGTTGATAACAATATGAAGTGCCTTGCATGTACTCCTACAAAGTAATTATTATATACGCATTTGCATTAGACGCACACGCTTCAATTCCAATGTTATTTAAATTAAAACCAACTATTTAATATGGATATTTCTGTGTGTAAGTGCCAGGTGTCACTGTGACATAACAGTAGACATTGTACATTAGAAGGTTATGACAATCAGATAGACGGTCAGTAAGACAGCTAATTGTCTTGTATTAGTTTGTAATTAATGTGTTATGTACATCAATTGTCGTCAGTGCATCCAAGCTGTTTTCTACACCTTGACATACCCTTTCTACTGGATGTTTGTGTTATCCAAACAAACAATATGATTGATAACTTAGCTGACTGTATCATGATATGTTTTGAGTATGCAAATACATCTTTCAAGATTTTCCATATTTCGCCCTGTGCGGTGTGATACCAGGGTCAGGTAATTATACTCAGTCGCTCATATCCATGACATATTTCACATATTGTCTATAAAGTTGTATACAAGGGTCAGATAAATAATTTTTGCGATTTTCACTTGGATATGAAACAGCGCAGTATGTTTTAGAATGATCAGTTCAATGTGGCAAAAACAACACAATGTACATGTATAATGTGAACAACTCTCAAGCGAAAATAACTGTATACTGATTTAAGTTAAATATGTGAGCAAATAGTGTTAGTTAATGACAATTAAATAACCAGGTTTAATTGTTTTGACCTTTGGTATTTAGTTATTGTGTAAACAAGATATGCATGTAGTTATTACACTCTAGTGACAAAACTGACTTCTCTATCGCCCCACTTATATTCCCAGTTGGAATAAGCCATTGAACTCCCTTATGTAAATATTTGATTTCCATCCATGTTCATTTTGCTGGAGAAATTGTGCACTAATCATATGTAACCGAGTCACAGACACAGGTGATAACAAACTCAAGCAACATGAACACTGTGGTTTTGAAAGCACTTTAAGAAAACAAACTAATGTTTCTCACAATATGACCATTGCCAAAACAAAAGCAGTGCTGTAGCTTTTTCCATAAAATCTGAAATATACTGTCAATATTTAAGAGAACAAACTAATGTTTATCACAATATGACCATTGCCAAAACAAAGGAACCGTTTTTAAGTACTTACAAAAGCAGTGTTGTAGTTTGTTCCATAAAATCGGAAAGGCGGCTGTAGACTGAGGGAGGGGCCAGAACCATCGTCCAGCCCGGGGGTGGCAATGTGACCCTCGGTATCACCGTATGGAAGCAGCGAGCACTGGACCGACAACACACAAGTGGCCAGCAGCCATACAGGCCAGAGGACTTGACGACTCATTTCCAGGTCAGTGCAGTGTGGACTCTCTGCAACATACCATCACTGGTATCACTTCCACATCCTACACGTACATCAGCAGCAGATATATCCTCCTTACTCCAGACACTCCAGACTCCAGAAACATGGTCCGTTATATTCTGATAATATCCATACGTTTTAGGAAACCAAACATTCGTGTATACGCGAACATTGCATACCTATCTGCCAAATATATTTACACGTGTTATCCAGTTACACATGAAAGCAAATCCAATTTAATTTTTTTTAAACTATCGCATTGATGTAAGACTGGGACTTCAGTTACATCTTACCTTAAAATATGTAGTTGCTAAATGGTCCAATTGGATAAACAATGAGAACCTGGCGACGCCCTTACCTTGATGATTCCCGTGACAAGATATGATTTAACTCTATCCCTTTATACAACAGTAATACGAAAGATTCCCAAGAGAAATACAATAGACGTAAGTTTCACTTGTCATTTTTATCTCATTCACAAACTACAGGTAGTTCCATTCAGAAAATCCAAAGTGATTCGGGAACATATCACAGGTAAGCCGAACACGCAGGGAGACAGAATACCTGCAGATACCCTGAATATACCCACATGACTGCTGTGACGGTATCGACAGAGTGGGTTGTACCTCTTGTTCGTGAGTCAACCCACTGCAGTGACTCATACTCTCTATGGCTGGCGTTGATGGCGGTCCCCTCCCCAGAACATCGCACCCGTCATGGAGCGGGTGGCAGAAGCAGGGTGTTTGGTGATTGATGGGCCACTGAGATGAGATTATTGCACGACCCACATGCTTATCTTAAACCCTCCAGATCGTACCCGGTGATTACACTGTACAGACCCGAGAAGCTCATCTTTCATACAAAGGTGTCATTGGAGCCACACAGGCGTGTAACGTGTTTGTCTGAGAAATAATACATTTTCAAGATGAGTTATGTGTTATGGTTTTGCGAAGATATATTTGCTTTTTAGTATTATCGTAAAGGACACATTCCATTTTCAGTAAATGTTTATCTTAAGCATCTTTTAATCTGGTTAAAGTAGCGAATAAAGATCCACACGCCATCTATTTAGATGGGAAACTTGGCTTACAATGCACAAAGCGAACAGTGGCTATAATTTACTTACGAGCAATAGGATTTTATGTTTATCATTTAGCCCCCTGAAGAGATCGTTATTGACAGGAATATGTACCCGGTGAAATATTGTGTTACAGTCACAGCAACTTGCAGGAACAACTTTAAGCTCCATATTGTTATCACTACCGTTATTTACACGTTGTCATATATACCATTCAGGTATGTGCTTCAGGCAACATGTCAAGTGATGTACAATATTCAGGCATGTGTCTCAGGCAACATGTCAATTGATGTACAATATTCAGGCATGTGTCTCAGGCAACATGTCAAGTGATGTACAATATTCAGGCATGTATCTCAGGCAACATGTCAAATGATGTACAATGCTCAGGTATGTCTCAGGCAACAGGTAAATTCATGTACAATATTCAGGCATTTGTCTCAGGCAACATGTCAAGTGATGTACAATATTCAGGTATGTGTCTCAAGCAACATGTCAAGTGATGTACAATATTCAGGTATGTGTCTCAGGCAACATGTCAAGTGATGTACAATATTCAGGCATGTGTCTCAGGCAACATGTAAAGTGATGTACAATGCTCAGGTGTGTCTCAGGCAACATGTAATGTGATGTACAATGTTCAGGTATGTCTCAGGCAACATGTAAATTCATGTGCAATATTCAGGCATGTCTCAGGTAACATGTAAAGTCATGTGCAATATTCAGGTATGTCTCAGGTAACATGTAAAGTCATGTGCAATGTTAAGGTTTGTCACAGGCAACATGTAAAGTCATGTACAATGTTCAGGTAAGTTCCCCAGGCAACCTGTAAAGTCATGTGCAATATTCAGGTATGTCTCAGGCAACCTGAAAAGTCATGTACAATATTCAGGTGTGTCTCAGGCAACATATAAAGTGATGTACAATATTCAGGCATTATGTGTCTCAGGCAACATGTCAAGTCATGTGTAATATTCCGGTATGTGTCTCAGGCAACATGTAAATTCATTTACAATGTCCAGGTGTGTCTCAGGAAACATATAAAGTGATGTACAATATTCAGGCATTATGTTTCTCAGGCAACATGTCAAGACATGTACAATGTTCAGGTATGTTTCTCAGGCAACATCTAAAGTAATTATCCCAGGTATGTGTTTCAGGCACGCACAGCCTCGAATGATCCATTTCAGTTTACCTGTAAAGTCAAATCAATTGCAGCATGCCTACATGGCTTATTAGATTAAAACATATTCAATTTGGCATTCCACAAACCAACATTTCACTACATTCTTAAACTGGTGGCACAGATACATGTATAAAATAATTGTGTTTCTATCCTTTCCTCGTGGTATCTGCACCTACGGTATTCACGGATGTTCAACAGTAACGCACCCTACCACACCCAGATCACTAAATACCAGTAATAGTACTAACACTGGCATATGTGTGTGACTTTAATCAACATTAAGCAATGTGGTTATATTCAAAGCTATAATGAGACGGATTCGTCCGGGGAAACACTGGACTGTGTGATGTGAGTATGTATTTCACCATACATCAAGGGCCGTCCGGTTTTTGCCACGTGTATATGGGTATTTGATGATCAAAAAGGGGATGATCACGTGACTCGATTACGTGATATCAGCTATTACATTTCACTGAAAATAGTTTATATTTCAACCTATAATCTACATGCTTGTAACTCACCACAAAGACACTCGCTTGCCTTATCGGTTTGTCTTGTACAAAACAAACACCTGATAGCCTATTTTAATGATCATGTCTCAAGTTTAAGTAGCGTAACATAAACACCAGATTGAGAGTGTTTATTGGTAACTTAAGTTAATGTCATATAATGTCAGAGACCAAGTGTATATCAAACATCTCAGTCACAAGACACCTAAAAAACCCTGGATGATATCAGTTCTCACAACATGACTACAACAATGGCACGCCAGACAAATCGACAACATTTTTAAAAAATGCAAGAGACGTATATTTAAACCTTCAACGGTTCATATGACCACCACTAGAAACTAACGACAGTATCGATGACCAGCCTCTGTGTTACCACTGTAGTGACGTCTTAATGTAAATGTAACACCGGTGTTTAGCGATTGAAATCTAAAACGTTGCAACAATTGCAATAAAGATAGCATCCACACCATCTTGACATTAGATAGACATCAAACTTCTGAATGCCACTCTTTAGAAGAGGTGAGGTGAAATGGGGTTTAACGTCGCGTCCAAGATTTTTGCACTTATATAGCGACGTGCATGTACGTGTGTGTGTTTGTGTGGCTGCTTGTACTAGTCCGGACTGATGCCGTCTTTTGGTATGACGCGATCGGGGATCGAACCCCGGACCTTATGCTCTCCGGGCGGACTCTTTAGAAGATCATCTTAAGACTTGTACGCGTTATTAGATACACTTTCCACGATATCTTGAAACTTTCCAATACATTTTGAACACAATTAGCGTTGGGTTAAAGGTAAACATTAATTCTAACAATGATGATGTTATGTAACCAAGATACTAGTATTTACCTCTATTCTACTGCTGTGAACAACGAGCGGGCAGATGCTGTCCAGGTGTAGACATATTCCCTGAAGCTGTTCCATTCATGATTGTTGAAAGAATTATTCTGTCAAGTATCAATATATCATTGTTGAAGAGTTTATTAAAAAGAAAAGGTTCGTGAACTTGTTTGTAGCCTAGTTGATTGACAATCAGTCAACACTGTCTCAAAACAACGTTGAGTGTCTCTTTAATACTAGTATGGGATGCTCAGTGATGTAATGCATATGATGGCGTCTTTGTATTAAATACATCACCATCGAATAACTATTTCTTTTTTGTTTCATTTTAGCCACCATCAAACATGAGTGTATACATACTATTATCCAGTAGGTTTTGTCTTGCACTCTGTCACATTCTTTTTATCTAAACAGGTCGGTACTTTTAAGGTGTTAAACTGATATTAATTTAATGTCGTAAAGAAAATTGGTCATATAAACCTCAAGTCTATCGACCCCTGGATGTTGAGTACAATCTAAACAGAGGTTAACAACTTTACTGTCAAATAACCTTTACTGAATCGTTGATATTAATCTAATTCACCAATAAAGTATGTCCCATAAATATGTTTATTAAGAAATTATAAGGAATTTTTAACTTTGTTTATTTATCTATTGTAATTATCTTAATCCCAGAGATACTACGCCATGATGTCGACAACTCTTGAATACGTACGACGAATTTGTTTTTGAGAATCTGAGATTTAGCTAATTTCACAATATAGATAACTCATGCTATAAGGTGCTGGGTAGTATTAAACAATAATTCAAATAACATTATTGCACCTAATAGGTCATATGTTTTAAATATAATAAACAAGGGCATCCTATGTTTCTTGTGTCTGTCTTTTACGCTGTCGTTTGTTGTGTTTTCATAACCTGTAAGTATCCGACACAGACGATGTTAGTAGAACCGTCGTGTAATGAACTAAACACAAAGCACCATTTATATTTGTATCTCCATATAATTCAAGAGACAAATTCGTAAAAACACTCATGATCACGGCTCATTGTACAGTACTTTTGATACGTTGTTATGAGTGACGTTGTATATTTGTGTGGTTCACAAGGGGTTCAGTTGGGGTGGACGGTGTCATGCTTGATTGAGTTAAACATCCTGTCCCACGTGCTTGTGGGGTGATTGGAGTTTGAGTTGGCTTGGTAATTGATTGGTGTGGGCCGATCAACCTTCTGTTGTTGTGTGCTTATGTAGCTTACTTGGAAATTTGTAGGGCAAGTTATCTTATAGAAAACGAAAGGAAAAAAAATGGGAGAGGGAGAAATATGGCCCTACAGAACGAGGGCAGTTCAGCCCAGCGTTATGTCTGGAGAGAGAGTTAGACAAAGGACATATTGACACTTTGGTCGTGAATATTGCTAGAAGGTCCTGTCGACGCTTCGAAGGAGGAAACTGATGTTATCCTGTTATCCCGTGAACTGTGCTATATACGTTGGGAACCTGTGAACAAGGACACGAACTGTATGAGATTGAATACGTTGTGAATGTGATGTCAAGGAATTTGAAGTGTCTATTATCTATATTGTACATTTGTCATATTGCTTAGACTAAACAGATTAACATTGTATATGAGTGCCTTGCCCATTAACTGAGAATTGTTATGTACTTATCTTTGTTTTAATTATCAAATCTGTTTTTCAACTTTTGAGATTTTTGTGTGATTCTTTTAATAGTAATTCGTGGCATTAGCGGGAACCCCTGCCGTTCATCCCACGCGTAGCAACACCACAAAACGAAAAATGAAGATATGATCAATGTTTGTTGTGAGTTGAATAATTGATTTGCCCGGGCATGTGTTTGTGACGGGTGCCACGGTGGGACAGGATACGTTCACCTTTTCGCG